GCTAGATATAAGAGGAGGAAAAATCATACCAAAAAAATCTTAAAAGGAAACTTAAAGCTAAATAAAACAATTAAACCTAAACTACTAAATTAACTAACTATATTAAACAATTAACAAAATTAACTATATACAATTCAATCTAATAAAACAACTCTCTAAAGTTATCAACTTCAGAAACAATACAAGGACTTCTATACTCAGAAAAATGTAGAAAATTTTAATTTTAATTCACTGATATACATTTAATAATTTGAGATCACATTAAGTGACCTCAAATTTGTCCTCCTGTGGCTTTGCTGACATAGGTCTCTTTGAGCCTCATCCTTCTCTTTTTCTCACTGCATCATCTTCAAATGTATGTGCTCTGCTTATTGCCCTCCTCATGCATTTCTATGAATTCTGTTCCTACCACTATTCTTATTATTATATTAGTTTATTTACAAAATTCAAACAGTTCCTTTGGGAGACAGTGGGTTACCAGCGATCTGCAGAACCCACCAGGGCAGACAACATCTAGTTGGGGGGAAGGGTAGTGGAGGGGAAGGCCCAGGGAATAACCAACCTCACTGAATGTGGGAGATAAAATTATATCACAGGGATCCCCAGTCTTTTCATCCAAAAGATATTTGTAATAAATTTTCCTGCCCAATGAACACTGTTCTTTGGCAGTATGTTGACTACCAAATATACTACATTCACCATGTTATCATTTACTTGTTTCTTTACTTTTCTACTAATAAATGGCATGCCATGAAGCTATCTCTCACGCCCCCCTCAAAAAAGCAATACAGAATTATACACATCAAAACTTTAAAACCAAACACTAGTGTCAACATCAAACTAAAGGTGATTTAAAATAAGGCTTAAAGGTGACTTAAAATAAGACTTAGATGAGCTGGACTGAATAAAGAATAAAACCAAAATGTTAAATGTCCTCTAAATAAGAGATTCAGGATTGATTTTAGGATATCATTTTAAATGTTCCTAAAAACATGGGCTTGGTGACAGAAATAAGCTTGAGATAGAATGATTGAATTTTGTAAAATCAATGACTTATTCATTGCAAATACATTTTATAAGAGACATAAACGCAGGTTATACACATGGATCTCACCTGATGGTATGCATAGGAATCAGATCGATTACAGCTGTGGAAGGAACCGCTAGAGAAGCTCAATATCAGCTGTGAAAACTAGGCCGGGGGCTGATTGTGGAACAGACCACAAACTACTCATATGCAAGTTCAAGCTGAAGCTGAGGAAAATTAAACCAAATCCACAGGAGCCAAAATATGACTT